GTAAAGAATGATCAGTTTGGCACATAATTATTGTAAAAAACTGATCATCTATCTACTTTGGTTAAATTTCAAGAACAAAAATATAGTTGACATAGTTTTAAAGCTGATAATATTTATTTTTAACATCTGAAGAAAGTTAATTTCCATGTACAGTTAATTATGCTGAAACATTTGTTTTGAAAATGTTAATTTGTTCCCTTGCTATTGGGGGACTTTAGACCAATTTAAATGTAAGACAAAATCAAGCAGTAAATGAATGGGAAAAACTGCATACAACTGAATGTCACATGCAAATACATAAAATGAGCATATGAATACACACAAACCAACTCACCATGTGTGTTAGGAGCCTTGTCTATGCACATCTGCCATTATAACCACTCCCCTAGTCAAATACTCCTTCTAATATAATATTTTCTAATAACTTCCTATTTGCAACCTGCCAACACCCATTTTCACAAAGCATATTTCAAATATTTTTGAAAGTAAAATGTTATAGTTGGTCTTACATTCATGTACTTTATGGATAAAAATGCTGAGAGCACTGACTACTCTTCCAGAGGATCCGGATTCAATTCCCTTCTCCCACATGGCTCACAACTATCTATAACTCCTATATCTGAAACCCTTACATAGACATGCATGCAGGCAAAACACAAATGCACATTAAATAAAAATAAATTATTTGAAAAAGCTATACTACCACTCTTACTAAGTCCCTTTCTTTAAATATGCTACTGGTAATTTTGGGGTGTGTGTATAGTACTTTGTACTAATTCTTCTATTGACATGGCAAAATATAGGACAGAAACAACTTAGGAAGTGGTTGTTTCACCTGACAGATCCAGGGGATATAGCCTGTTAACATGACAAGGAAGGCATAGCAGGACAAGTAGAAGGTGGCTGGGCACATTGCTTCCACAGTCAGGAATTATAGAGCAATGAATAACTTAGATCAACTCCCTTTTCCCTGTTCATTCAGAACAGGGACCCAGCCTAGGAAACAGTGCCACCTACATTTGGGGTGGTTCTTCACTCAACAATTAATATTGATAACTCTTAACAGATTGTTCATTGACTTGCCTTTTTCATGATTATAGAGGTTGTTAAGCTGACATTCAACATTAACCATTACATTTTCCAACATAACTTTTCAAGTATTTTCACATATATAATATTCATGGTATAATGAATTTTGGAAATGAATGCAATACCTTGTAGCAGAACTCACTGTGTACGTTAATGAAATGTAAGAGGCAATTTATCCTAGCAGAGATTCTGTAATTTGCTGAATATTTTATCTAACAATGATCTCTATTAAACATGGTGTACAGAATGGGTAGGGAAAGATGTATACCACCTTCTTTCTCACTTACCTTTTGCATAAAAAGGAAGTGCTGTTTTGAACACATATACTCCTTCCAATAATTCTGCCACACCTAAAATACCTTAGATCTACAGGTTGGAGAAATTTCTTCACTGAGAGATTATTTTACTAGGTTATTTTAGGACCTCAAACATGAAATTGGTTCATTTCCAAGTATATTATGTGAATTAGACTTTGCTATCCAAAACTTTTGGAAAGCTTTAGAAGTATGTCTAGACATTATATTTGCATGACCATCCCTCCCCCACTCTACCCCACCTTCATTTACCTTCTTTCTCTTGGGCACTGTACTATATGGTTGCCTGAACATTTGGAAGTGAGTGAATATGACTAAAAAACCTCATGGAATTAGTGCTCTAGATTTCCTGACACTGAACACTAATGTATTTTTCATTACTGTTTAGTGTTGGGAAATCCCATTTCATGGAGCCCAAAAATTAAATTGCTCAAGAACATCCCTTATCTTTTCCTGAGGTGAAAAACAAAAACAGAAGAATCAATCTGAGATCATTTGCATTTCATAAGGGTTAAGGTCTGCATGTAGACTACTAAGGGCATCTTTCCAAACTGTGAAAACATTTAAAGAAAATATTAACATTAGAAAAGTCTCTGAGTATGAAATGTGAGAATAAAATTTCATAGTAAAATTGATTAATATATGCACATATATCACTAAAATGTGTGTATTTAATTATAAATGTACATATATCAATGTATACATGTATTTTAAAGGTAATTGTACATGACAATTCTACTTACAGCAGAAGTATTATAATATCATGATTGTACTTTTTAATTAAATATGTTTTTATCACTATTCACAACAGGTTATTTAAAGGCATTTGAAGAAATCTCAGCAAACAATAAAACTAAATGATCTTGAGTGATTGTCCTTTTAACAACACTACTGTATGGGAAATTTCTTTTGACTGACTTTCTAAAACTAAATATCTGTGATACAGGCTAGTGGATATCTTGTGTTTGTTTGGGGATGTTCTAGCAATGAGCTCTAAAATAGACCTTCCTCTGACTGGACTACCACCAGGCCTTCCTTTTTCTTTACATTAAATGCTTTCTTACCTGTAATTTTGGATGCTAAATCTGTATGTCAGTAATACTCTTGATACATTGTGAGAGCAGAGAGCATTGCTTAAAATGCCTCCTTTCAGATAGTATTGTTCTTCCCCAGAATCCTAAAAAAAAAAAAAAAACAACACAAAAAAACTTTCAAGGAAAGAAACATCATACCTATGAGCATACCTAACTATGGACAATCAACTATATATTCAGTAGTTGTATCAGAATGATATCCAAAGAATACACTAAAGAAAATTCTTTAGGTCCCATGAAAAATAAAAATCATTTCTATCAGAAAATCTTTCGGTACATTGCTTTATGCAAGAACTACCCTCAATGCTCTATGACATATAAGAGAAGTAGAAAATGACACTTCACTGAGAAATACATTTTCTATTATGAGAGACAAGACAAAACCTATTGCCTATCAAATGAATGCCATGGTATAGAAACCTCGAACAACTAAACGTATGTTAAGAACAATAAATGTTAGAATTAGATGAAAGAGTCTCATTTAAATAGTCATCATCCCTATTTTATATCAGTCAAATTACACAACAAGGATATTACATTAAATATAATAATCCATATTATAAGAGAATGGGTCAAGTTTCAGCATGAAAGAAACTGAATCTGAAGCCAAGGTTGCCATTGCTCCAAAAGTCTGTGCTATTTTATATTATCGTGACACACACTACATTCTATTCTGTATTTTTGCAGTTACAGATGTTTAAGAGTGAAGCAGACACATAAACATAAATGAAAAATTCAAAAATACAGAAAATTCTGTGTTTTAGAATCATAATTATGGGGAAATTTTATTTCAGATATTTGTATTAGAACCATGGCTAGAAGAGTCTGTTCATCAATTTGCTTTGGTTCCTAGAGAAAGTTCCCATCTCCAAAATGGTCTTTTGTACCCTAGTTCTTTATGCTTCCTTGGGTCCAAAAAATGCAAAGCATATTTCTGTCTATGATTGTGAGTATGAATACAAACAATTTAAAATATTAATGAAATGCTAAACACAAGTGATGAAATTTTAGGAGTTATGGGATTTGGGATAACATGGAGTCCAGGAATGATTTAGGAAATTTATGGAGTGTTTTAAATATATAAGGATAACTAAGCACCTAACAGAATCTGTAAATAAAATAATCATGATTCCTTACCCTATCTGTCTTTTGTACAATTCGTACATTCATAAATTGAGTTTACTTAAAGACAGAATCACCTATAATAGAAATCCAGCCAAGAATTTGTCATACTCTTGCTCCTGGGAGCGTAATGTTGGGTTTTTGGGGGGTTTTTTGTTTTGTTTTGTTTTGTTTTTTAATTTGAAAACCAAGCCACTCTCTTTAAAATTCATGTCTGAAGTAAAAGGACTGAAAGAAGTGATTTTTTTTCCCTCTGATCAGTAACTGCAAAGTGGGCCTCAGAACACACCAGCTGAGCCCTCTGTTAGACATTGAAAAAGCCTCTGGCATTTTTCTGCTTTTCAACTCTGTCATTGGGGAGGTGGGACAAAGGCATGCAGTCTACATAGTTTATCCAGAACGTGCTGGTGTTACAAGCAATCACTTGACATGTATTATGTTTCTCCTGTGGAAGAGAGGTGGCTAGCTGCTACAATAGTGATTTCTTTTCAAAGGGCTTTAATTGGGGTATTTCTCCTGGGCCAGAGTCTAACTAACTGTCTTGATATGTACCTGCCAGGATAGCAGGGGAATATTATACAATAGCAACGTGAGGAGTCTGAGGACTGCTGTCCCTATTTGCCCCCCTCTGCAACCAAGCATGAAAAAAGTTTCTCGACTGTTGTCTAACCTATAACTTGGCAGAGCTCCTAAAATGGTGTGTCAAAAGGCAAGGTGGGCACCCTTTGCTCTGCATGGCCATGGAAATGCATATAGTAACAAGAACAACATCCCCTCAGCCTGCCTTTTTATAAGAAGCGCTCTGAGGTGTTGGGCTGGTGTAGAGATTAGTTTCATGCAGTTGAGTTACACACTTGTGAGCTATTTTTCTGAAGTATGAATTTACTCCTGTGTAGCAGGCTAGCATCCTTTCCTGGAGTAAGTCAAAAGGTGGCCTATATTTTTATTTGAAGTGCTGAATGATTTTCCTCGCATCGAATTTGTGCCTCTCACTGGTATTTTCTGAAGTGAGATTTTTTTTTTTTTTTGCAACTGATGGAAATCAGCTCACTTCTGTTCTGTAGTCTTATATCTCGTTGATGATTTATTCGTTCAGTAGCAGAAACTATGACAAATTGTGTGAGGCGGCCTCATTAGTTTTAGATGGTATATTCCTGAAGAATTTACATGTAAATGCAACTGTGAATGTTTTACATTTCATAAGCTTGCTGCACATGCTTTTGTAAGTTAAGTGGCATTTTTACAGATAGACTGAACTTCAAATCCACACACACACCCCTTCCTCAGAGGTTATATTATCTATAATTCTAGTAGGTCTGTCATACTGCCTTCTCAAAGTAGGAGAGTAAATCTTTATTTGCTGTTTTCTTCTCTGTTTTAGACATGCAAAGCAGCCCACACAACCAGTTCACCTTCAGACCGCTCCCACCACCACCACCTCCTCCGCATGCCTGCACCTGTGCCAGGAAGCCACCTCCCACAGTGGACTCTCTTCAGAGAAGATCAATGACTACCCGCAGTCAGCCCAGCCCAGCTGCTCCTGCTCCTCCAACCAGCACACAGGATTCAGTTCATCTGCATAACAGCTGGGTCTTGAACAGCAACATACCACTGGAAACCAGGTACTTAAGCTATTGCTCACCCCACTAAACTTGAATGTTGACAGAGGAGGACTCCACTGATAGTAGCAACTCTATTCACCATGGAGCTGCAACAAAACACAAATACCCATCATTATACACAGTCAGGTTTATAGGTAAAAGGACAGATTCCCATCACAGACACGCAGGAAACAATGTTTCAGGCGCACTCATAGACATGGACCAAAGCAGATGCACGTGTAAACATGAAATCACAGATGCATAAAGTACCTCATTTTTAGACACCCACCAAAAATTAAATGAAGCATTGGTCTGAACTGTCACTGAGGCTGAACACGAAAAGAAATTGTGTTGTGTTTCAAGAAAGTACAGTTATAAAAGGAAAGAGAGGAAGGGAGGGAGGGGGAAGGAGGGGGGGAGGGAGGGAGGGAGGGGGGAGGGAGGGAGGGAGGGAGGGAGGGAGGGAGGGAGGGAAAGAACATTGGAGAAAAGTGTGGACTTTGCTATGTAATTTATTATAAAATCACTTGAAAAGGAAGATGTCTCCTAATAGTTCAGAAAGGATTTGCCTTATGAAGGGGAAATTCATATGTTACTTGAAAATTGTGTTCCAGTAGCATGATATTTTAAAGGGCAATAAGGCACTGTTTTTCTGTCATGTCTCACATTTGAGTTTGTTAATTCATGGCCTAAGTATTTTAATGTAGGTAAAGCTCTACTCCTTCACAGTACTAGGTCCTTTGACTGTGAAAGCATTAGCACTAGAGAGTATTAATTGAGAAATCACTCTCCATTTCCCATCATTCTTTCTTTGAAAAGTTGCAGGTTTTAGAGATGGCAGTATTGCACAGTGATAGAGTACTTGCCTGGCATTCAGAGGATGCTGAATTCAATCCTCATCACCACATTCTCAAATGTTACAACATAGGAAATCAAAAAATAGTGAAACATAGCATTCTGTTGTCAAATTCCAGGGGTTCTTGCTGACTTCTTCATGTCTTAATCATTTTAGAAAGACAATTTTATGTAAACAATATTGAGAATATACCAGTCAATAAACAATGTCTGGCATGAATTTCTATTATAAATCCTCCGGGAATCATAACTGAAAGGGAGTGACTAATAAACTCACATTATGAGGCTTTCCTCCTGAGTGGCATATTAAATTAGAGGGCATCAGCAAGTATCACCACTTCCACTGAAAGTGCTGTGGTCCAAATCCAAAAAACTGTATCATTCATCACATATTAGATTAAAAAGGTTTATAAGCCACTTCTTTTTGCTACCTTTCCCTAGAAAATACAACAGTAGTAGTCAGCATCTATAGTGAAGACAGTACATTTAGGACAGCACTAATGATAAGGTTTGCACATTATTCTTTTTATTGAAATTTTCATATAGGCATATAATGTGTTTTGATAAAAATCAACCCTGTATTCCATCCCCATTCTTTTCCTTATTCCCCTACTGCTTGTTCGTTTATTGTAATTGAAAAGAAGGAATGTATAAAGTGGGAGAAGCAAAGAATAATGGAAATCTACAAGGGCGGGAGAGATAGCTCAACTCCCAGCACCGACATGGCTTCCCACAATCATCTAACTCTAGCTCCAGGGAATCAGACACCATCTTCCACCCTCCTTGGGCACCAGACACACACATGTTACACAAACAAACATGCGAGGCAAAACAACTAGACACCTAAAATAAAAACAGTAAGTTAAAAAGTTGAAGAAAAATATAAATATTCATAGTTTTCAAAGAGAGGTAACTTGCTCGTTTTTCTTTTGACTCTTCTATGAGGCTTGATCATAGCTAAGGAAACAGTATGGTTAACTAGCTGTTCTGTCAAGCAAACACAGTTCCTTCTTCTAGGAAGACAAACAATAGGAAGTCGGGGGGATGGAGATAGGCTGAGGCAAATTGAGAGAGAAAACTATTCTTATTTGAAATGTACATCTAGGCATGTTTGTACAAATTGCACCCACGGACCTTCTGTATCTGTGCAAGGAATGTATTAATTGGTCTCAGCTTCCTACGATGTAGAGACAAACATAAGTTTTCATGTGAGACTGAGGAGAGAGCCTTTTTAGACCATTTGAAAATATATTCAGCATCAGAAAAAATGAAATTAAAAATGCATAGAAGTCTTATCAGCTTGACTAACTAGAGATTTTCAAATTTATCCTTGAAAAAATATTCATTTCATGCTTAGTCAATAAAAGGTGAGAGTAAGTGCATATTAACTTATGCACGAGCTGGATAATAACACCTCCTAGAACCTTAGCTTCCTCATTTGTAAAAATAAATATGAAATGTCTTCCACACCTAGAAGCAAGCACTTATGTACTGGCTTCCATCCTGAGGATGCCTCTAAAATTTCCTATCATGATAATGTGTTAAAAAGAACAAACTATTATAATATAAAGTGCTCATATACTGTAAAACACTTCACATATTCGAAAGGTGACATTGTTATCTCTACTAAGTGCTCACCTCTGTCTGTTTATGTATTTCCAGTAAGGGAAATGACTAATAACTGAAATATTCCATTCTACCTCAAACAACTTCTTGAGAATTCTTTTTGAAACCAAATCTTCTACTTGCAATATACCCATTATTATCCCCTAAGTTTAGGGACTCAGAAAATGAAACCCCTCTTTCACCTTTCACTGTTTATGAGTCTGATGCTTTAAGAAAAATGCTTCCCCAATTAGTTTAGGTAACAACTTGGAATTTAACAAGCTCTCTCAAGATAGTCCTCTTAAGACTGCTTATTAGGAAAGATCTGGAAGCATTTCAGATGTTCCTTAAATAGGATTGTTAAACATTACCTTAACTCACATAGCCAGGACTAAATGCTATGGCCAATAATCAGCTATCTCTCTTGTTTAACTATTATTTCTGCTAATTCTGTCTATTCCAATATCACCCTTTTTGATGGACATATGACACTAGTTAATAGTAACTATTAACACTAGTAACTATGACTCTAAGCCTTTTTAATAAAGTCTAAGGCTAGGCCATAGTTTATATGTTCTATAATTTAAACCTCTTAAATATACATTTGAAAAGTAGAGCATTAGTAGACTAGGTTTAGGCCCTTAAACTGTCATAATTTATTTCATCCTGCTAGAATATGGAGTTGTAGCAGAAATCTAATTCTACCTTGTAAAGTAGATATTTTGCTGTCATGCTAGTATAAATCTACAAGATGGTGAGATATTCACCCTCGTTTTCATGTAAGTCACTGATAAAATTTATATAGGACAAGAATATCATCAGAGCTCTCTGGTATGCCATTGGAAACACTTCTACAAGGCTTTTTTCTGCTATCAGGTAGTACACTGTTACTAATATACAACCCACATTTCTGGATCTTACTCTGAGACAGATCATGAGATTTCTTGTCAGATGTCTTGCTGATACACACACACACACACACACACACACACACACACACACACATACATATATATATATATGCTTATATTTTTCCTGATCTGCCAAATCTAATAACTGCTCAAAGAGGGAAGTATTTACCTGACATGAATTCTTTTAGATTTATACTATCTTCTCAAAGTTTCTACTCTTATAATTTTTTAGTAACTGTTCAAAATCATTTTTAACAGCTTGTTCTACCTTAATCTCACAAAGTTTTGTATTCTGCCCCAAGAAGCCTAGATGTTGCTTGTCCATTTCCAAAACTTAAATCTGCTTTTACCATCTCCAGTTTTCTGCCACATTTTATGTATGCCACAGTCCCTGAAATGCATATGCAATACAATCCACTTAAGTTCTCTCTCCTCTGGTATAGACTACTACTGTATTTATAATAGTCAAATGCCAAAGTTCAGCTCCAGCAGAGTTCAGGTCCCAAAAAGGAAGTGTGGCATCAGCAGGGGAAGAAAGGAAGGAATGCATCCTAGGGTTCAGCATGGCTCTCTTTCAGCCAGAGAGACTCTTTGTTTATATAACATATTGACTACAGAAGTCATTTGGCAAGCATCAGAGCCTCACATTACTATTTTACTTCCTCATTAAATGTTCAGGGTAAAGAGCATGGTACAAAGCAGACAGTCTTATCTGAAACAACATCTTTGGACAGCATCTGTCAAATCAGGAAGTTACAAGTTTCTCAGAGTCTGCAAAGTATAAGACCTTTTATTTTTACAGGCAGTGTCTAGGCTGGCTGCCCATATGGTTACAATATGTTAAACAGTGTGAAATGAATTTTACCTTAACCAAGTTGTATGTAGAATCATTTAATATTTTCTAAAATGCATTTTCTTTTTTTATATATTTATTTTTTCTTATTTTACATATCGATCCCAGAGGGAGCTAGGAGAAAGAGAAAGGGAGAAGAGGAAAGCATGTGGGACTAGGAAGATTTTTTCCGGGGGAGGAATAGACGAGAGAAAAAAAAAATAGAGAGGGGAAAGAGACACCATAAAAGAGGGAGCCATTATAGGTTGGAAGATAAGACTGACTCTAGAGAAATGTCCAGAGACCTACAAGGATGACCCCAACTAACGATCTGTGCAACAGTGGAAAGGCTACCATAAATTCTCCACCCTCTTGGATGTGTAGTCTTCAAGAAGATAACTTGAGTTTGCTGTATATTTGTGCTTAGGTAAATAATACAACTAATATATGACTATAGAATTATAACCATTTCTATTCACTGTACTATTCTCTTAGTTCTCTTATGGCACATCTCTATCAGTACTGAAAATTAATAGGCATTTTTTATTCATCTAGACAAATGCTCATTGTAGACACATATAAGTTTTGTGTCCTTGAATATGTTACTCAACATCACTGTGTTCCAGGCTTATCTTATTGTACAATAAGGATAATGGTAAAACATATTTCATGAGTTTAATGAGGGTGTTGTGATAATTAAATAAATTGAATTTACAATGTTCTTAGAGCAGCCATGAATTCAGGAAGCACTTGACAAATAGTAGTAATAATAACAACAATAATAATAACACAAGGACAAATTCTCCTTCTTATTCCTT